ACTGCAGGTGCATCAGACCCTACTCTATGTTTTCCTATCCATATTTAAAATAAAGTTTAACTTACGAATTAGGCAAAGTAAGAGCACTTTTAAAAACGCACACAGAGGAGAAGTAGCTCTGTACCATTTTAAAATCTGTATATGTATGATCAGCCTTCCTCTTATGGTGATATGAGAGGATCACCAAAGAGAGCACTTTACAGTTTTTCTTTGTCATATCCAAATTTCCAGTTTCACCCGACCCTTGTGCTTTGGGGCTGCAGTTAAACAAAAACAAGGGTTATTTGAACACAAGCACTATAATGCCATTCCATTTGGTCAGTTAACAAAAAGGCTACTGAGTGAATAACAGGAGGGTAGCTTATACTGTGTGAACACACTGGACAAAGGGATGCCTCAGGTGCCAGGCAGGATGCAGAAGAAAGTGACAAAACATCACTATGCTATTCAGGGCATCGTACAGCTTAAAATCTATAATTTGCTCATGTTTGGGACTTTCCATTTAATATCTTTAGATCCCAGAAGACCACAATCCTGCCTCCACATAACAGACAGACATACAACCACGGCCAAGAGAGGATTACTGCTCTAGTCTCCGGTCACCTCCAGAGATAGAAAACCTATTCCAAAACTAAGTAAAAACTGCCAGGTTCATGATGTTATTAAAACCTAAAGGCTAAACCCTCACCAGAAGCTACATTAAGATTATATGAGTTCCGTTTATTAAGAACTGTACAACAACTACAACATCAGCTTTATGAGTGCTGCCGCCACGGCTGTGATTTCAGATATCACAACCATCACACGGTGGTATGAACAGAAAAACAGCCAACTGCCCTTTTTCAGACAAACAAAAATCATAAAGGAAATAACTAGACACTGACATTTAAAGAACTGACCAGCATTTTCAGATGAGAAGAATCAACCAGGAAATTGAGCTCCACATGCATTAAAAAAAAAAAAGTCGACCCTGAAAACAGATCTTAACATTTTCCAAATAAAATTAAATTAAGTAGCTGTTATACAAAGGAACCCATAACATCACTCACCCTCAGAAACAATATTTGTTGTGCTAACCCTCTTTCCCACGCATGGTCTGTTCAGCAACACTCAGATCCTTGTTTTAGAGATAAGAAAACTGTGAGAGATGGAAGCAAAGACCCTACCGGATCTGTCCACCCTAGTCACTGTGGTCATCTCAGCCTCGTGACAAAGCAGAGCAGTGCGTTCGCAAATGCTTCTACTCAATGAAATCCTGCGCAACGACTAAAATCGCAAAGGCCACATGAAGTCGCCATGCCATCCTGACTGAGGACCATTCATAAATTCTCTCTTTTTATCTTTCTGCAACAATCACATGAAGTAAGCAGGCTTTGGGGGTTAAGATGACTCCACTCGGGGAAACAACAAATCCCATACTCACAAGCATCACACTGGACATTACACCACAATGCCCCAGATAATTAGAGCTTCTTAGTCTGCACTAAAGAAAACTGGGTCATAGAAGAGACATTCTGAGCCTGGCTTCAGAACAGATCACTTCCCATTTGATTCACTAGAGTGTTAAATTAAGCTAGTGATATTTTTTTCTGTTTGTCTAAAATGTTCTTAATTTTAATAAATCAAGTTTCAGTTAGATTTTGTCTTTACAATTGACTGGTGACTCCAGTCTTATATTTTCAATATGTCAGTAATGAAATGGTTAAACTTGAGGGTAACACCCTGGTGGATATCTCTCTCCTTCAACCATCAAAGGGGTGGGGGTGGGGGTCACAGTCAGTTACTCCTGTTACACCAGCGTTTGCTGGAACATCTGTAGGCACACAAACACTCTACCCTTCAGCCTTCAGCTTGCCACAGTCAAACTAAACAGTTACTGACTCTTCCCCAAGTCCGACCTTAATTCCTGGCATAGCCGCAAGGATTCAGAGAGGGATAAGCAGCCCCTCTGGCCTTCAGGTAGGTCCAATACTTCATTTCTAGCAATGCTAAAAGATGGGAACCTATGTTTATAAACTTTAAGGGTTTGTTGCTGCCACACTAAACCAGTGTGCTGGCTACAGATGAACGACTTCTGGGTAGGGAAGAAGAGATGTAGATTTTGGAAGGGTGGGGTCTCCTGGTCTCAAGCTACTGCAAGGATTACTTTCAATTCCTTCAGGGTATTATTAATCTTGGGACATAAATGATCCTCAGCAGGGGAAGACAGGCCTAATCCTGGTTTCACTGCCAGCAGAAATCAAGCAGCATATGCCTCTAACCTGATAGACCGTACAGTGCTCACTCACTCACTCAGTAGCTGCGGTGCATGGGCTCCTGGCTATTTTGGAGTCAGGAAACACGGACAATGCTGATCTGTAAGATTTAGAGCATCAGAGTATACTGCCTGTCTTTGGAGAGAAAGTCAGTTCAGACACAGGAAACTACAAACCCAGACCTCACACCATTAGTTCTCTTCTGATACTCAACTATGCCCTGGCTTCAAAGCGAACAAGTGAAGATTGCCCTGCTGGGGAATGCTAGCACAGGGCTGAGAAAACTGTGTTAAGGGTATTGGCCCTGTATGTCTTCCTTTTAAGAAGAATCTTTAATGTGTTGACTTTGAAATTTCCCTTAGTTGAAAAGCAGTCTTTTTTTTTAATCTGCCTGATATTTTTGTCTATTTAAACAGTAGCTTTCAGTGGGTTATTTTAGGCCTAGCATAATTTTTAAACAATTTTTAAAACCCTAGATGTAACTAATATAGTTATATTAAAGCTGGAAAAGATACAATCATCAACTCCAGTAAAAATATATTCCCACCCATGAACCAAAACTTCAACAACTAGATGGTGTCAAAAATGCTAAAACACCTCCAATGTTTCTATTATTTAAATATACAAATCATCTGACTAAGACAGATCGTCTGAGACTTAAATGGGCAATCACTTGTCTATGTCCCAAGAGGAGACAACGTAGCTCCCTTTACTGTTCTTAGGGCTCCAAGTTTGCTACAACATGGACAGTCTTCCCTATGCACTGCTCAAGAAACTGCTTCTTATTATTAATCCATAATATTCCAAATCCCTATGACGACCTTCTCATGGCACAGTGGACTACAGTGAAAACTCTCAGGCTGGTGCTCTTCTCTCTCTTTCTCCCTCCCTCCTTTCCTCCCTCTCTCTCCCCCCCTCCCTTTCTCCCTCCCTCCTTTCCTCCCTCTCTCTCACGCCCTCCCTTGCTCCCTCCCTCTCTGAGTCACCACCAACACCTTTGGCTTAACAATTTAACCAACTATTATTAGTTCCAAACTGTATCATTTACACATCCCCTCTACTGCTCATCTCTTGAAGGAAGACGGGAGGCAGAAGACAGAGCAGCCGTGAAATGCTCCTCTTTGAGGTGCGGCACAGACACTGCAACCACGACCTTACAGCTGCTGTGGCTTCCTAGACTGGGCCAGCACAAGGCTGGCCCTATCAACAGCCCATTGTGGATGGGAGGGGAGCTCGGGAAGGCCGACTCCACTCTGCAGTACTACTGGCTACTGATAGATTTGGGAGAGGAGACATTGCCTTCAGATAAGCATCAGTTAGGGCACACTCCAAACTTCCATACACAATTCCAAACCCATGGGCACTCAGATATCTCTGGTTAAACTCAATGGGACACAAAACAAAACAAAAAGACATAAATGTGGGAAATGTGGTGAAAAGATTTTTAGGAAGGAGGGGGAGGTTGGCAGGGGCAGGAGCGACATAAAAGAGGGCAGAATGACAGTAAATCAGAATGAACTATATACATGTATGAAACTGTCAAAGACCAAATTCAATTAAGAAAAAAATTCATCTGTCTACATCTGCTGACCAAATCCCAACCACATCCTATAGCCCCCTGTAGACATCTCCATCTCCACTCACGTGTGCGGCCATTATCAGCAGATATCTGTGCCTAGGGGGCCTGTTATCTTGTGACGATGACAAGATAATGGTATCTACTACTGTGTCTGGGCCCTGTTCTGACTCCTTTACAATTCTGACATCAACCTATGTGGATAAAACCACCTCATTTTACAGATGAGGAAATCAAGCCACAGAAACAGTTTGCACAAAGTCAGGTCGTTAGTTACTAAGTGACGCCAGGATTTGAGTCGAGGCTGACAGCACTGAGTCCCAATCCTGCCCGTTGTTTTATTCTGCTTTTTAAACAACTTACTCTAAAAAGAGTCAATCTTATCTTATTTCAACATGTAGTGCCAATAACAGAGTGTTTCACGTCTGCAAGCAGGAAGAGTACTTCACCTCTCTCTAAGGTAGGTAACAGTACAAACTTCCCAAGCTTACCTTTATCTGATAATATTTCTTAATGGCAGTGCAATAATTTTGTACTCAATATAAAATTAATCAAGAATTATCTCACAATTCGTGGGCTGGAAATGATCTGAAACAGGACAATTCTATTTTCCTAGGTGTTGGGGCATGGAGGGGGGAGCGTGTAGTTTAGGAACTGTCTCTGTTTCGCTGAAAGAATTCTCAAAACAATAAGGAAAGAAAGTTGCTGAGCAGGAAGGGGGCGGGGGGGGTCTTCTAAAGTGTCCCTTGTAATTGCCTAATTACTACACTTCCGTTAGTAAGTGCAGAGTGGAAAAAAAATTTTTTTAATCATTTTCAAGCTGCTTCTCCCCTGCGTGCTAGGTATTCTAAGACTCGTCTTTCAGTTCTGAAAGACAGTCAACTTTCCTAACTCCCTGTCCCAGCAAGTGACGAGTCCTCAGAGTGCAATTCTGGGTCTCGCTTCAATAGATCCAGAGTGGAGTCAGTAAAGTCGACTCAACCGTGGCTTCCCCTCAGAGTGTGGTTTCCAGGCAACCACACTTGGGCCAGAAGTATCTGTGCCTCCTACCGGGACACCCTACTAAGAGTCGCAGAAGCCGCAGCGATTCCCGAGCACCGGTTTGCAGGCGCCCCTCCTGGTACTCTTGGGTCCAGCGCCCCGTTGTCGGCAGAGGGGCGCACTCTCACCTCGGTTCCCTAGCTGTCCGTCACCTTGGAGCCCATCTAGTCACTTGGCACTTTTGGAGTCCTTTCCAGTCAGCCTAGACGGCTCCAGTCCTGAAGCAACAAGAAGACAAACTATAGAAAACGGATTCTTGGGAAATGTAGTTCTGTTGGCTCGCATGCAAGGGCGCTCTGGGAAAGAAGGACTACAGTTCCCAGAAATCAAAGCGAAGGGAGTGCGCCACTAAAATATGTCCCAGCTGCTAGACTTGAATTAAGAAGGAAAGGTCTGGAGCTCTTTGCTTCCTAATTAGGACAAGCATTTAAATGACTTTTCTTTTAAACAAACTTTTTGCATGTGAGGACATCTAAACATGATGATGTATAATAAAAAGATATTCTAAGTTTTGTGTTTTATACTTTCAGATAAAAGACCTACTCACAATCAAAAATGTCACTGCAGATGGTAACAGTGGGTCATAATATAGCCTTAATTCAACCAGGCTTCTCACTGATGAATTTTGATGGTCAAGTTTTCTTCTTTGGCCAAAAAGGCTGGCCCAAGAGATCCTGCCCTACTGGAGTCTTCCATTTTGATATTAAGAAAAATCATCTCAAACTAAAACCTGCGGTTTTCTCTAAAGATTCCTGCTACCTCCCACCGCTTCGCTACCCAGCTACTTGCTCCTACAAAGGCAGCTTAGAGTCTGAAAAACATCAATATATCATCCACGGAGGGAAAACACCAAACAATGAGCTTTCCGATAAGATTTATATCATGTCTGTTGCTTGTAAGAACAACAAAAAAGTTACTTTCCGTTGCACAGAGAAAGATTTAGTAGGAGATGTCCCTGAAGCCAGATATGGTCATTCAATTAACGTGGTATATAGTCGAGGGAAAAGTATGGGTGTTCTCTTCGGAGGACGATCATACATGCCTTCTACGCAGAGAACCACAGAAAAATGGAATAGTGTAGCTGACTGCCTGCCCCATGTTTTCTTGGTAGATTTTGAATTTGGGTGTGTTACATCATATACTCTTCCAGAGCTTCAGGATGGGCTGTCTTTTCATGTTTCTATTGCTAGAAATGATACTATTTACATTTTAGGAGGACATTCCCTTGCCAATAACATTCGTCCTGCCAACTTGTATAGGATAAAGGTAGATCTTCCCCTGGGTAGCCCAGCAGTGAATTGCACAGTCTTGCCAGGAGGAATCTCTGTCTCCAGTGCAATCCTCACTCAAACAAATAATGATGAATTTGTTATTGTTGGTGGTTATCAGCTGGAAAATCAAAAAAGGATGGTCTGCAACATTGTCTCTCTAGGGGACAACACGATAGAAATTAGTGAAATGGAGACCCCAGATTGGACCCCAGATATTAAGCATAGCAAAATATGGTTTGGAAGCAGCATGGGGAATGGGACTGTTTTCCTTGGCTTACCAGGAGACAATAAGCAGACTATGACAGAAGCATTCTATTTCTATCTGCTGAAATGCTCTGAAGATGACGTGAGTGAAGAGCAGAAAATCTGCACAAATAGTCAGACATCAACAGAAGATCCCGGGGACTCCACTCCCTTTGAAGATTCAGAGGAATTTTGTTTCAGCACAGAAGCAACCAGTTTTGATGGTGATGACGAATTTGACACCTACAATGAGGATGACGAGGATGACGAGTCTGTAACCGGCTACTGGATAACATGCTGCCCTACTTGTGATGTGGACATTAATACCTGGGTTCCATTCTATTCAACGGAGCTCAATAAACCTGCTATGATCTACTGTTCTCATGGAGATGGGCACTGGGTACATGCCCAGTGCATGGATCTGGCAGAACGCACACTCATCCACTTGTCAGAAGGAAGCAACAAATATTACTGCAATGAGCATGTGCAGATAGCAAGAGCATTACACACTCCCAAAAGAAGCCTGCCCTTACAAAAACCTCCAATGAAATCACTCCACAAAAAAGGTTCTGGGAAAGTCTTGACTCCTGCCAAGAAATCCTTTCTTAGAAGGTTGTTTGATTAGTTTAGAAAAAGCCCCTCAGATTCAGGTGCACTTATTCTTAGACCTACTTTTTAAATCATAATAGTGATATAAATGGCATTTTGATTTTTGTTTACTGAAAATCTCTGTACCATGCTTTGTTCGTATGAGTTAAGTGCTAGTTTTAATGTAATGGTAAGTATAGCTATTTTAATGTGTATTTTTAACATTTTATTCAAAGGTTTCTTAAATGAGAAATGTTATCTAATTTTTATTCAGAATAGCAGTGATAATGTATACACAGAACTCTTGCATCATTTTGTCACAATCTACATGTTGAATAGTAACTAAATACCAATAAATAAACTAATGCACAAAGGAATTAAATTGTTTTGTGTAAGTACCCTATAGTTGATTTAAAAAGTTAAAACCAGGATCAACTATATCCCACATTTCTGCTCTTTTTAAACTCTCAGTCAGCCTCTTGGATTACACCCATGAACAGATTAATATATATGTTGTATGGAGGCTGCTAGTTAGTTCCCAGCTACTTAGCCTCAAAATAATCACACAGAAACTGCATTAATTAAATTACTGCTTGGCCCATTAGCCCTAGCTTCTCATTGGCTAACTCTTACATATTAATTTAACCCATCTCCATTAATCTGTGTATCACCACATGGCTGTGGCTTACCGGCCAAAGTTCTGGAGTCTGTCTCTGATGAGGCTACATGGCTTCTCCCTGGCTTTGCCTCCTTTCTCCCAGCATTCAGTTTAGTTTTCCCTGCCTACCTATGTTCTTCCCTATCAACAGGCCAAGGCAGTTTCTTTATTCACTAATGGTATTCACAGAATATAGAGGGGAATCCATATATATATATATATATATATATATATATATATATATACCCAGTAACTCAACACACCAAAAAAATCTACATCAAGCCAGTAATGATGACACATGCTTGTAATCCTGGTACTTGGGAAATAGAGAAATAGAGGCAGATAAATTGTGAGTTTGATTCTGGCCTAAGTTAGATACATTATATCTGAAAAACCTGAAGACTGGCCTTGATAGAAGACAGAACACTGGTAGCATTGTCACCTACTGTGGTGTTTTTAATGAAAACGGCCTCCATAAATGCATAGGGAGTGGCACTATTAGGAAGTGTGACTTTACTGGAGTAGATACAGACTTGTTGGAGGAAGTGTACCACTGGGGATGGACTTTGAGGTTTCAGATGCTCAAGCTAGGTCCAATGTAATTCTCTTTTCCTGCGGCCTGCAAATCCAGATGTATAACTCTTTGTTCCTTCTCTATTACCATGTCTGACAGCATGCTGCCGTGCTTCCTACCATGATGACAATAGACTAACCTTCTGAATCATAAGCTAACCTCAGTTAAGTGTTTCCCTTTATAAGAGTGCTTATGGTCATAGTGTCTCTTCCCAGCAATAGAAACCCTAAGTCACCTATATGACCAAAGTCCTGAATTCAACACTGTGGTACATTTTCGTGAATTATCTACATGCACTTGAGAAGGGTCAAAACATGTTCGCCTAGCCAGTTTGGATGTTCACCTTCCTAGATATGGACGGAGGGGGGAGGACCTAGGACTTACCACAGGGCAGGGAACCCTGACTGCTCTTTGGACTGGAGAGGGAGGGGGAAAGGAGTGGGGGGAGAGGGAGAAGGGTGGGAGGAGGGGGAGGGAAATGGGAGGCTGGGAGGAGGTGGAAACTTGTTTTTTTTTCTCCTTTTCTCAATTAAAAAAAAAAAAACATGTTCCAACAATATGCTTTTGCCTAAATCACTTTGGGGGTGCATTTTTAATCCCTTCCAAATCAATGGTTCATCCCTTTGAAATTGCTCAACTGTTGTCCCTCTTCTCCATTAGACTGTTATCATCTCTGGAAACAGTCAAATTTCACTCAAGGCCCAATAGTGTACAGCCCTGAAAACTGCATTATCATTTTAAATGAAACATGAACATGAGCTTATGCAATGATATTGGGTTCTCACTCTCAGAAGGTATCTAGTGCTATGTCCTGGACAGTTTTCAAAATAGTATAAGAATAATATCAAGAAATATGTGATCAATAAAAAGAAAATGTTCATATTCCATAAATGAAAACCCTCAGTTTCTTGTAAAATCACCAAATCCTTCATTGAGGCTTGAAATGATTCTTTCATTCCATCCTCTTCTTTCCTGAATCTTCTATGTACTTGAGCCCCCATCATTGTTCATCATCCTTTCTCAAAAGGAGAAAAAACAGTGGCTGGCACCTGAGGAGAAACAATATTTGAAGTTGAATCCAGCCTCCACATACACATGTACATATGTGTATATGCTCTACACACTCATAACCATATGTTATGTCCTTAACACATATGGACACACACAGCTTTTTTAATTTCAAGATCCACATTAAACATGGAACCTGAAAAAAAAACAATAAAACTCGTCTCTAGAGAATGTGCTGTCTCACTATAGAAAGAGGCCCAGGACAGGGAAGGCAAGGTATAAAAGCCACATCTGTATATACTTGAGCTGTTTGCATAGGAAAGGCTGTCCACGCAGCATTAACTCTTTTCTAACCTGGAGTATGCTAATAGAATTACAAAACGGGGCCAAAATTTCTCAAATTTTCTATCTTATATCAACCTTCGCCAAAGAAATGCTGTGGCAAAGATGGTTTTAAAATGTAGACTAAACCATTTGAAGTGATACACAAAATATATAGCGATCCCTCAAAAAAAGGGGGGGGGATCTTTGTTGCAAAAGATGACCAAATCATTTGCAACAACAAAAAAAATGAACTTCTTAAAGACAAAATGGAAAGACAGTTATAGAAACTGATCAGTTCATTAGACTTTGATCTGACCTCAATATAGAAATACACAGATCTTAGCCTTCGAGTAAATTAGGATATGTGTGCGCATACATATGTGTGTTTGTGTGTATGTGTGTGTTTCTGTCTCTATACATGTTCCTCTGTGTGTGCATCCACATGTGTGAGGGTGTACACCTGTGTATGAGTGTGAGTGCGAGCTTGTCCATGTGGAGTCCACAAGACAACCAGGGCTGTTATTTTTGAGGTTCTCTCCAGCTTTTTGTGACAGAGTCTCTGTCTGGCTTGGA